AATGTGCGAGTTACCACCTATGTATCACCTATGTGGTACCCAGAGCATAGTGTAAGATAGGTGTGGTTATCAAAAAGACACTACATGGGGACATGAATGATTGTTAATTATGAATGTAGGGAAGAGCCTGAGAAGCAAGAGCCCTTCAGAAGAAACTGACAATTCTAAGAATATATAACCCATTGCCATCGAGTCAATTCCAACTCATAGCAACCCTATAGGACAGGGTAGAACTGCTCCATAGTTTGCAAGGAGTGTCTGATAGATTCTAACTGTGACCTTTTGGTTAGCAGCTATAGCTCACCATAGCTCTTAACCACTGCGCCACCAGGGCTCCAAGAATATATACATGAGGGGGAAAAGAAAGATGATTTTGTGATGTCAGAAGCGTTTATAATTTTTCTTTGATGTGAATTTTTGTATAATCATAAAACCAAGAGAATTATTTTGTTTGTTTGTTTATTGTTTGCCACTAACCCAAGGGAAGAATGAAATTCGACCCTCTTGCAAAAGCAATACCTATCTTTACATTAACTCCCTATACTCAGGCTATTAAATAATGCCAAAATAATCTGGCATTTTTGTGAAAATATCAAATTGTCAGTATTCCTGTATGCTTTCACTCAACAAAGCACAATGTACCTGCTAGAAACAAATGAAAAAAGAGTAAGACATGATTTGATCTTTCAAGGATTTTGCAATCCTAGTGAAAGGAGAAAGATTCACAAATATTCAACCAAAATGTAAAAATAAACAATATATAGAGATAAAAACAAAGCACTATGAGAATATGCAAAGAAGTGAATAATTAATAATACCTGCAAAAGAGGCAGGCTTGTCAAAATGGGTGGATTGCCTGAATTTTAAACTTTTTAATCAGTTGTATTGACAAAGTATAGATACATAGACCATTCACCAAACACAAAACCCATTGCCATCAAGTCAATTCCAACTCATAGTGACCTTACAGGACAGAGTAGAATTGCCCCATAGGGTTTCCAAGGCTGTAAATCTTTACGGAAGCAGACTGCCAGGTCTTTCTCCCATGGAGCAGCTGGTGGGTTTGAACTGCCAACCTCTCGGTTAGCAGTCAAGCACTTAACCACTGTGCCAACAGGGCTCCTTTCATAGACCATTTGTATCTCTTATATTCTGGAAGTTATATAATTGGGCTTTAGTTTTGTTTTTGTTTTTTTAACTATTAAAGGAACCATGAGGAAACAAGGAGATAAGCCAAATCAAAGGACATTCGGCACAACTGGCTTGTACTCTTTAAAAAATGTCATTATTATGAAAGATAAAGAAAGACTGAAGTACTTTTCAAAATTAAAGATGATTAAAGAGACATGGCAACTGAATGCCATCTGGGACTGGATCCTAAATCACACACATACATACACAAAGCACCACTTTATTCCTGGAAGACATTCAGGTCAGCCTTGACTCACTGGTTATGGTTGTTATAAAGGGTAGAATTGTCCTAGACTTCCTCCTTTCACAGCCAAGGTGGAGTTTGTCCAATAGTTAGCAGATCTTGTTGTACCTGGATTAATGCCTTGGACTATGTGGAACAGTCAGTGCAGATATTTAAGGAGAAAATCATCTGGCTTTCTAAGTCAGACATTCGTGGTTTATGGGATTTGTTCAGGTGGTTGGGTCTGGTACCCTGGGGGAGCATGGCTGAGGTGAATGTTTCAGATTGGCTTCATCAAGCTTCTTGGGGTCCTGTTGCTATGAACCTTAATTCAATGCCACATTAGACAAACTAGATGGATGTGGTCCCCGTGCCTGTCAGTCAAATTAATCAGAGAGATCAATGGAGTAGCGTACTCATGCGAACATTCACCAGAAGCCAAAACAGTAATAGTAAGGGATAAGTACTGTTGAGAGACAATTCTCCATGGGTCCCTATGTGTCTGCATCAGGGCTTCAAACTGGTTTGTTCCAGCTCAAACCCCTGCTGAGAATTTGCATTTCCACCCCAGATACACTAAATCAGAATCTACATTTTAACAAAAACCCTCTGGTGATTCTTATGTATCCCTGGGTGATTCTTATGTATACTGCAGATCTTGTTAAAATGTAGATTCTGATTCAGTATATCTGGGGTGGAAACAAAAATTCTCAGCAGGGTGTCAAACCAAAATGAACTGGTTTGAGGTCCTGGTCTGCATGTCTTGTGAAAGCTTTTGTTCTGGACTATCTTTTCCAGAATATTTTTGTAACATCTTGAAAGATAAAGACAATGTCTCCCTCCAGGGAAAAGGGAAGACTTGCTTGCTACCCAGGATAAGAAAGCTAATGTCTCCCTCTGGGGCAAAGGTTGAGCAGGTTTGCTAGCAGCCAGCTCCTAAGATTTGGAGTTTCCTAATTCAGGATTCCTCAACTGTGACACAAGCCTACTGTACTGTGTATACAGAATTCAGCTGGGCCCATCTCTACATCATCCCCATGAAACTCAGGAAGTAAAGGAACTAATGCAAACATGAAGCTCGTGCTGCCTACTGTGTCAGCATTAGCGAAGTCCTTTGTTTCTGACCCATGACTCTCATGTCTTATACCAGCATCTATGAAACTGAGTCAGGATAACTTGTTATCTTACAGGTAGGATACAACTTGAGATCCTTTATACTTTTTGACAAAGACTCAGATTAACATAGAGAGACACGATGCTTATGAGTTGACAGAATCAATATTGTAAAGGTATCAATTCTCCCGAAATTCATCTATGGATTCAATGCAATCCCAGTCAAAATCCCAGCAGGCTTTTTTGTAGAAATTAACAAGATGATACTAAATATATATGGAATTGTAAAAGACTTAGAGTAGTCCTGAAAAGAACAAAGTTAGAGGGCTTATATGCTATCTGATCTTAACTTACTATAAATATACTAATAAAGATCTTGTGAAATCTTTACAAAATAAAAACAAATAGTTCAATGGAACATGATACAAAGTCCAGAAATTAAGAGCTTGGCTGCTAACCAAAAGGTCGGTAGTTTGAATCCATCAGTCACTCCTTGGAAACCCTATGGGGCAGTTCTACTCTGTCCTATAGGGTCACTATGAGTTGGAATTGACTCAACGGCAGAGGGTGTGTATATATATATATATATGTATATATATGTGTATATATGTATATATATGTGTATATATATATATGTATATATATATATATATGTTCAGATGAATTTTAAAACAGAAAGCAATGCAATGCAACAGGGAAAAGAAAGCCTTTTCGACAAATAGTACTGGATCCACTGGACATCCATATAAAAAAATTCTTGACCCATACCTCACACCATACATAAAAACCTAAAATTACAAACCTCCTGTAAGAAAACATAAGAGAATATGTCTGAAGCCTTGGGATGCGCAAAGGTTTCTTATAAAGAAAGCAGAAAGTACTGATTATAAAAGAAAAATATTGATAAACTGAAACTTTGTCAAAATTTGACTTCTGCTCATTAGAACATTAAAAACCACAGACAGGAGGGAGGTGAAAAGGGAGAGATATTGTTTAGGACTCATGGAGTTTCTGTTCATGGTGATGGAAGTCTGGCAATAGCTATTGGTGATAGTTGCACAACATTATTAATGTTATTGATGTCACTAAATTGTACACGTGAAAAATGTTAAATTAGCAAATGTGTTATATGTATTTTTTATAATAATAAGCATGTTAAAAAAGAGATAACATTAAGAAAATGCAAATCACAGACTGGGAAGAAATATTTGTAATATATATTTCTAACAAAGGTCTTGTATTTAGAATAAATAAAGAACTTGTACAAAACAATAATAAAAAGGAAAACAACCAATTTCTGAAAAAGGGCAAAAGACTTCAATAGACACTTCACAAAAAAATATATACAACTGGTCAATAAACACGTAAAAAGATGATCAACATCATTAGTCATCAGGAAAATGAAAATTAAAACCACAATTAGGTAGAACTTCATACTCACCAAAATTGCCAAAATAAAGAAAAGACTAACAATATCAAAACATTGGAGAAAATGCAGAGTGACTAGATTCTAGCAGAAGATTAAAATGGTGTGGTACAACCACCATGGAAAAATGTGGGCAGAATCCATAATGCAACACATATACCTGCACATGGGGTTGCCATGAGTCAGAATCAATCTGATGGCAACTAAGAGTAACAACAACATTTTTATTCAGCAGTTCCAGTCTTATATATTTACCCTCCCAAAATGAAAACACATGTCCACAAAAATACTTATATACAAATGTTTATTTCAACTTTATTCATAATAACACAAAATTGCAAACAACCCAAATATCCAGCAAAAGGAAAACGGATAAACAAATTCTGGTGTAGTCATACTATAGAATACTACTTGTCAATAGAAAGGAACAAACCAACAATACAGACAAAAATAGTGATGAATCTCAAAAACATGCTCTTGAATGAAAAAAGCCAGACACAAAGAAATATATATGGTATGATCTCGTTTACGTGAAGTTCTAGTACAAAAAAATTAAGGTATGAGGCTAGAAATAAGAATAGTGGTTGCCTGAGGGGAATGCAGAAATAGATTGGAAAGATGTTGGAAGAAACTTCTTCGGGTGATAAAAATGTCCTACATCTTGATCGGGATGTTTGTTACCTGGTGTATATATTTGTCAAAACTCACTAAGCTTTACACTTCAATCTATATAATTTATTGTATTTAGATATACCTCAATTCAGAACAAAAAAAAACACTACAAAATAGGACTTACAACTCATTTACCTCCAGACTATTCAAGGTCTGGCATTCAAATTACATAGTTTGAACTTCAGATCATTTGCTCTGTTTTCACAGGTGTTGAGAGACAGATTCTCTCAGACTTTATACAACTACCAAGGCAACAATGCCAAAAAAAACCATTAATCAAGATTTGATAATGCCTATTTGCAAACAGGAGAAGAAAATAAAGAACACCCTGGTTTATAAAAGCAGGTGAAACCCACCCAACAGAACTACTCAGGCACAATGCTGGCGTTCCTCGTTCTTGTAGCTGTGGCTTTAGTGTCTGCTCACCAGTCTGGTGAGCACTTTGAAGGGTAAGTAAGCAACTTGTTAAATACGAGCACGCTCTCTTCCTCGCTGGCCCCCAAATTTGGATGCATTACCCTTTTTAAATTTTCTACTCTTCCTCCTTTATCTCACCATTCAGCGAGAAGGTGTTCCGTGTCAACGTTGAAGATGAAAATCATATCAACTTAATCCAGGAGTTGGCCAGCATCAACCAGGTAAATAATTCTCTACTGTAGGTTTGCTTCACACCTGCTTTAAAATCTTAGATTGTAACGTGATTCCACCAAACGAAGACTGGCATGAAATATAAACATTAGCACTTTTGGTAGCAAAAAATTAAAACTTGGAAAAATTTAGTGCCATAATGCTGCCTTTTTGCCTGCCTAAACTTGATCGCCATAAACCCTATAGTATTGTAAATCCATGGTAATTTTAAAAGAGCTGACAGAGCATGACAACTGGATGAGTTGGAACTTGTCGTGAAGGTCACAAGAACATCCAATGTGCAGTCACTTCCCTTCTAAAGCAAAAGAGAAAAATGATCAACTTAGATATTGCTGAAAAACTGGGCTTCTGTCCAACTTGAACTTCATTTCCACATCCCATGTATCATCTGTTCTCTTTGGTTTTCTTTCATTCCAAATCAAACAGCTTGGGTTTTCATGACCTTGATTCGGGCCCTCTTAATGACATGGCATGATGCAGGGGAGGGCTATAAAAAGCCATGAGTGATTTCCATACTTTTGCTTACAAGAGACCAAAAATCTCTATGCGCTTTAAAAAAAACCACTGTATATGGGATGAGAACCAACATTTTTCATTATATGTAGTGTGGCAGGAAGCTATTGCTGACCCCACATAGTTCTATTTGGGTCAATGCCATTTCTTCACATATATATAAACCTAAATAATCTGCAAGCTCTTAAATATCCTTTTTAAAAAATCTATGTATAGATATGGAAACCCTGCTGGTGTAATCGTCAAGTGCTATAGCCTCTAACCAAAAGGTCAGTGGTTGGAATCCACCAGGTGCTGCTTGGAAACTCTATGGGGCAGTTCTACTCTGCCCTATAGGGTCGCTATGAGTTGGAATCGACTCAACGGCAGCGGGTTTGGTATGTATATATATATATAAATATTTATAAAGTCATTTCTTAAATTTCAAAGTGTAGAGGAAGACAGTGCAAAGCGTCATAATCACAGTCAGAAACTTTCAAATTGAAAGAGGATATAAAGTCATCTATCCCAGCCTTCTACTCAAATCTGGAATTACTTCTCTAGAAACAGCATCTCTGGTTGCTAGCCCTAATAAAACCTGTTCGGGTACTTCCAGGAATAGTAAGTAAGCTACTTTTCTGAATAGCCAGCCCATTTGCCTTAGAAATCATTCTAATTGTTTTCTTCCTAATACTGAGATGAAAGTTGCTTTCTCTAACTTTGTCCCATTGGCCCCAGCTGAGCCAAGTATTGCGTTACCTCTAAGATTTATCGTCTTCCAGGCCTGCCATCATTTTTCTCAGCACTGGTTTATAGACTCTTGACTATTCTGGTCACCTCTGGATACAACTCAGTCTTTTGTCTATATTTCTTTTGAAACGTGTAGCTACCAGGGTTGACAGTGGGCCTGCAGGTGTGCTCTGATTAATATGTACTACAGGACCATTGCTGCCTTCATTTGTAAAGCAGACATTTATTAATGGGGCCTAAGATGCTTTTCAGCATCTTGAGCAATCATAGAACGCTCTCAGCTTACATTAAGGCTGTGGTCAATCAAAACCATTAAGGTATTTTTTCTCACATGAATCACCCTCAGACAAAGTATCCCTCTTTCTGTACTTGCCTAATTGCTTTGTTTTTAACCTAATGCAGGATTTTAGGTTTACTCAGTTAACATTTATCTTGATAGCCTGTTTTCAGCATGTTACCTTATTAAAAACGAATTCAGTCCTCCAGGGAAATAATTCTTCCCTCTAAGTTTGCGTCACCAGCAAGTTCGATGAGTTTACCTTCTTGACTTTAATTTTTGTCACGGATAAAGAAGAATATTAAGTAGGTCAGGGGTCAGTGCAGAACTAGAGGTCTCCTTTATGGTTTGCTCATTCAATATATATTTATCATGCATCTCCAACGTGCCGGACACAGTGTTAAGCACTGAACATGATTCACTAATCAACTCTGCCTGGATAAGTTTGATCAACTACCCACGTTATTAGGGATTTAACTACAACTAACACTGTGCTGCTTTCCAGCTTGTAAAGAGGGATATCAATGCTGAGACTGTCAAATGCTTTGCTGAGATCAAGATTCAGTATTCTATCTGGCTAGTGGTCTCTTCCAATAATAAGATGAAGTTAATTGGGCCTGACTCATGCTTGTTTTAAACCATGCTGGCTCCCAGGCATCACAGCTCCCTCTTTTGAGCGTTTACTATCCATCTGCTTCCAGTTTACCCCGCAGCTTTGCCAGAATCCACACCAGTTCCCAGGAGTTCCTGCTTCTGAGACAATTTACCTGTTTTCTTGCTTATGAAAGTCCAGACTTGCCCGCTCCAGTTCTCTGTGATCCCTTCAAACTCTGACTCCTTCAAGATTGCTGAGAAAGTTCTGTGATTACATCAGTATTTTTTTTTTTTTTTCTTTTTTAGTTACCCAAAATGCAACATTTTATGGTGGTCAAGACTCAGAGTGCATGGGTTCAAATCCTGGGTCCATCACTTGTTAGCTGGATCTTGGACATTTTACTTAACCTCTCTGTACCTTAATCAGCTGATTTGTAAAATTAAGATAATAATACTATTTACCTTATAAATCAAAAAACCAAGCCCCTTGCCATCGAGTCAATTCTGACTCATAGTGGCCCTACAGGACAGAGTAGAACTGCCCCATAGGGTTTCCAAGGAGTGGCTGGTAGATTCGAACTGCCAACCTTTGGGTTAGCAGCCGAGCTCTTAACCACTGCACCGCCTTACAGGGTTGCAAAATTTAAGAAATAATAGTAATAATATGGAAAGCACTTAGAAAGCATTTATATAGTAAGAGCTATGTGTTTGCTATTTTATAATCATTAGGTCTGGGATTTTGAAGTCAATTTACACGGCTGGGAGCCCTGGTGGTGCAGTGGCTAAGAGCTCAGCTGCTAACCAAAAAAGTCGACAGTTCGAACCCACCAGTCACTCCCTGGAAACCCATGGGGCAGTTCTACTCTGTCGCTACGAGTCAGAATTGACTCGATGGCAGCAAGTTTGGTTTTTTTTTTTGGTTTTACATGGCTAGGTATAATTACCACTCTTCTCATCTACCATGGGCCTCAGTAGCTTCTTTCCAAAGAAAATATTTCAAAGCACATGAAAAATTCTTTACTTATCCTGGTGGTAATTAATCTCATTTCTCAATAGAAGTAAAAGAAACAAGAGATAGTGAACCTCCTTGGAAAGAACAGAAGCCAAAGGACTAAATTGGGCTACTTTCCCTGTTCCAGCTATAAACATCACGTTTTAATTCCAAGCAGTGGGACTGTATGTTTTCTCCTTTACTCTTTTTACTTTCAACATGATTGAAAAAGAGATTTTTCTTCTCCATAGCCATCCTGCAAGTGCAGCATATTCTGGGATGTAACCTTCCTGATAAGATCATTACAAGGGCATCCAGTCTTTGTATTTATCCTTGGCCATGTGTCCTTCCTCCCAGCTTTTGAACATGTCCTTTTAAAAGATGAATGTATTGGAGAGCTCTGTGACCACACTGGACCCAACACCCCTCTCCCTTGCCATTTGGATCATCTTTAATTGTACAGTAAGGATTTTATCTCCTTCCAATCAGAGTTGTACTCATTCCTTTTCTGGAGCCATTCACCAAAGAACACAGTCTCTTTTGTCTAGACTTTCTTGAACTTTGTGTTTCCTGAGTTTAAAGTACATGTTTATCTATGCCAAGAGTAAAATGGTTACAGTCTTCCATGTTCCCACCACTCTTAATACACCAGTAAGTTCTTCACTCTGTTCTGAACAAGGCTTAGAGTAGTCATCACTTCCTCTTCCAACAAGAAATGAAAATTTCATCAAGATAAATGAAGAATCTATCAGATGCCTATAAGCAAACGTAACATCCAACAAATTTCTGAAGAACCAAAGATCCAACACCAGTTTTCTTTTATATTCCCACTTTATTCCCAAAATAATGTAAGTTGGTGTCTTAGTTATCTAGTGCTGCCATAACAGAAATACCACCAGTGGATGACTTTAACAAACAGAAATTTACTCTTTCACAGTTTAGGAGGCTAGAAGTCCAAATTCAGGGTGTCAGCTCCAGGGGAAGGCTTTCTCTCTGTGTCGGTTTCAGGGGAAGGTCCTTGTCATCAGTCTTCCCCAGGTCTAGGAGCTTTTCAGCACAGGGACCTCGGGTGCTTGGTGGTAATGAGGTCCCCCTGTCTCTCTGCTTGCATCTCTCTTTTATATCTCAAAAGAGATTGACTTAAAACACAACCTAATCTTGTAGATTGAGTCCTGCCTCATTAACATAACTGCCACTAATCTTGCCTTATTAACATCATAGAGGTAGGATTTACAACACATAGGAAAATCACATCAGACGACAAAATGGACAATCACGCAATACTGGAATCATGACCTAGCCAAGTTGACACATGTTTTGGGGGGTACAATTCAATCCACAACAGCTGGATAAATTACTTTATCTTACCTTTGTGCTAGTTTTGTGATGTATTTAGGAAGAACTCTTTAGTTATCATCCATCTGTAGATATCACCCACAATTTATCATTTAAACACAACCCTTTATCTTCCAACAAATGTTCTCTGTGTTTCTTCACCACTCAGCTTACTGGATTTATATTCAGTTTTATAACTTCTTGACATAGAATTCAATTCCCCACATCTTATATCAGACATAAATCCCACTTACAAGGTATTGATAATTCATGCAAGTTCATGTTTATTTCCTCTGTTAATATTTTGAATGTATTTATTATTTGTATCTATGCCTGGTGCACTAGTAAACAGCTATGGGGCGTATATATAAGTGCTGAGACTGACTCCAGTAGAGTCAGTCTGTGGCACACTTGCAGTATCCTTAGTGTTGGATGTTAGCAGATTTTCCTGACCATTTCTCTCCATGTCAAACTGAAATTTTTAAATGATCTCAGGTTAGGTCTGTAGGTCTTCCATCAAACATATTCATAAGATTCCTTCACCCCCTTTTCAAGAATCCATCATTCGAGTATCTCACAGCAGAATCTTAAAGGTGGCGTGATACATATCTTCCAGTATTTGGCAGAGCTAAGACCAATGAGCAAAAGGTTAGAGAAGTCAACTTTCAGCTCAATATTAGGGAAAAAAAAATTCGTAAGGCAATTAGGCTGTTTTGAGGTGGCCCTAGACATGCTCAAGGTTATACTAGAACCATCACTAGTTATATCGTGCAGGCATTTCTTGCTTTGAGTGAAAAGCTGGCATTCTAATACGGGTTCTCCCAGAAGCCAATGCTGAGACAAGGATTCAAGGGCAAGGATTTTATTTGGGACATGCAGGGAACACTGGTAGAGAAATGGGGAGTGAAAGAGTGGCTGTCAACAAAGGGGGCATGATTAAGCTAGCTACTACAGAGGGCAACTAGAGCATAATACCCCAGGGAATCTCTGGGAAAGGCCGCAAAACACACACTTCAGAATTATCCCACCCAAGCAAGGGAGCTAGAGTATTTAGACATCCACTTTCCAGAGCCATTGGTTGAAGACTTCTCTGGAAGGAGTATTTTCTTAGCACCTCCTGCCTGCCTGATAGTTTAGCTTTTGGCAGTTCTGGCGGAAAGAGCCCTATGGGACAGAAATGCAGATTTTGGCAGTCCCCTGGGCACACTAAAAGGTCCAAAGGTTATGTATGGGCAGAGCACTGACAGCATCTGTTAAGATGCTTAGAGGACCTCCCTCTCCCACCCCACTTCAGAATGACAGACATTTATTAGGAACACAAAATCAGAGCTTACTCACTAGGTTCCATTCTATATCCGGTCCTTATCCAACCATCAGTACTCTCTCCTTTCAATCCCTTTGTGACAAATGCATTCACACGTAACTCATCTGGAATCTCTCTTGATGGAATCCCTGGGTCCTTGCCTCCCATGGCCCTAATTATCCCTATGGCCCTGACCCAGGATTCAGCTCCCACTGAACTTCTTCAGTGGTTTGAATATTACCAGGACCGGATACAGGTTATTGGATTCTCCACAGATATATCTGAAACTGAGTCATTTTAAGAGCTTACCACATCAGTTCCTGCCTCACAGTTTCTAAGTCTGCCCAAACTTCCTTCCAAATTTCCAAACTGTGGTTCTAAAAATCACCACCTGTCACATCTCCAGCTGAGACTAGCTCACAAACATCTGAAGTGAGACATGGGCAGAGGAAGAACCTATGTCAGGCTCACCTCAGGCTTCTAGGTCTCCACTCAGCGCAGAAACAGAAAAGTAATACTTACAAGAGACAACATGCCCCTGGTTAATATTTTTCCATGGAAAAGGGAGATTAAAAATCTCATCTCCTCAAAATAAAAACATTAAAATTATCAAATCAGTCAGCCTGTTCTTTTAGTGCATAATTTTCTTTAAAGTCTCCCTCATGAGACTAAATTCCTATGTTGGATTTGCTCACTAGTGAACTCCTAGTCTCAAAGACGACGCCTAGCATGTTGTAGGTCCTCTGTGTAGTTGCTGAATAACTGAATAAATGGAAATGTCAGTATGTTACTGGATCCTTAAGAGTGTTTTGCTTCTGACCATGGTGCCAAGATGCCCCTATGGAAAGATGCCTTTGTTCTCCCTGATGTATCTTCCAGGCCAGGGATGCTCCTGGTTCCACACCTTACTGTGACTTGGACAGCACTGAGTTCCCAGATAATGTCATAAAATCTGGCCACAATAGTAAAAGGGAAAGTTCAATTTCTCTCCATTAAATTTTGTAGTTCTAGTTAATTCTTCATCTTTCATTCAGCAAATTCATCCATTACCACAAACACTGCTATCACAACAAGCAAGCGCTCCAGAAAATCAATAAACAGAAAAGAGTAGTTATGGAATACTATAATTAACTAACATTATGGGAAATAATTATATGTTCTTCATGCTTGTTGATAATCAATTAAGGTTATGTATTTGTAAATATTTTTATTGACATCTAACTGCTTGGTCCCAATGCTTGTTCACTCAAATGAGATATTTTTAAGAGATTTCATGGATAATTTGGTTTTGAAAATAACTGAATGGAGTAGAGCAATGGTATGCTCTCAGATGATAATCCATCCATTGAATTATAGGAGTTCAATATAATATACCTTGTCCTTTATCAGATTGACTTCTGGAAACCAGATTCTGCTACGCAAATCAAACCTCACAGCACAGTCGACTTTCGTGTTAAGGCAGAAGATATTTTCACGGTGGAGGACTTTCTGGAGCAGAATGAGTTACAATATGAGTAAGTTCATGCTTTATAGCTATTAAAATTCTCTCCAATGCATGCTCTTATCTGAGCCTCTGAATAACCCTGGGAAGGTAAAAATGAGACCAAGAGGTTATATAACTTGTCCTGGGCCCCACAAATAGGTAATGGCAGACCTGGCTCTAGATTCTAAATCTTAAGGCTTCAGGCCAGGTGGATTTTGTGTTTAGTCATTGCTCTAATTAAAGTGGTTTTTTGACTCTTGAGTCCCACATTTTCAGACAGATATTTGACCCTGCTACTAGTTTAGAAGTGATACTCAGACGACAGGCCATATCAATGGACACTATTATTAGCTAGATGCCATTTTAGCTCCAAATCTTACCACATCTTCTTTCCAGGTGAATGGCTGGGCCTACTGTGATCCACGAGGGTTGTTTATGTTCCTTTAGCTTAAGGACAAGACTAGAGGCAGACTGAGTGGCCTTCTGTCCTTTTTACTCAAAGGCCTGTCTACTATCTGTATTAATACAAGAAGGCATGGAGAGATGGACCCAAAGAAAGAAAAATGATTCCCCAAAGGCCTAGAAAAGAGTTGGCTAAGCCGATTACCCATGTCTCCTCTCCCCATATATGACCTTTGTGCTTTTCAAGGTGAAAATGTCCTCATAAGTAGAGGCAATTGCCCATTTGTTGATCCAACAGATAGATACGGAATGCCTACATGTACCAAATACTGAACAAGAAAAATAGGCCTCATGTGCTTTAGGGGAAGGAAAACCATAAACAATAAAACAATAATGTGTAATAGACATCAAGAAGGGTAAAGAAGCAAAGGAATAGGCAAAGTCTAGGAAGTGAGGCTTCAGCTGAGAGCTGGAAGATGAGTAGAAGTTACCCAGACAAAGACAGGGAGAAGTCATATTCCAGGTGGAGAAGACTATATGCTAAGGTGGGAGGTGGGAGAGACCATGTTTAGCTGGAGGCATTTGCAGGAGAGGAAAGAGAGAAATGAGACCTTTTGTTCTGATCCAAAGTAGAACTCTTTCTCCAAGGGGTGGAAGAAGAAGGAGCGAAGAGAAAGTCTTAGGCTCTAGTCCTGAACATCAGAATGTTTATCCAGTAATTCCCCACCACAAGCTCCAATCTTCATTATGTTTTGAAAAAAATGTGACCGACATAATTTTAAGATTAGAAATTTCCACTTGTTTTTCACATCTTGCTGTTGTTGTTCATTGCCATTGAGTCAATTCCCACTCACGGTGACCCCATGTGCGCACAGTAGAACTACTCCATAGGGTTTTCAAGGCTGTGATCTTTCAGAGGCAGATCTCCAGGCCTTACTTTTCAGGCTCCTCTGGGTGGGTTTGAACTGCCAACCTTTCAGTTGGTAGTCCAAAGCTTAACCATTTGTACCACCCAGGGACTCCTTTTACATCTTAAACATATAGAAGTATAGTATTTATGCTAGTGATGACATCAGAATTGTCACCTGTAAAATGTTACCTTCATCAGAAGAAGTAGTGTAGCATAGTACAACAAGCATATGCTTTGAAACAACCAGACTGGGATTCAAATCCCAACTCTGCAACTTCCTGTGTGACCGTAGGTAATTTGCTTAACCTTTCTGAGCTTGTTTCCTTATCCACAAAATGACAATATAATACCTCCTTCAAAAGGCTGTTGTGAAAATGAAATAAAACTGCTGAGAATGCTGCTAGGATTTACTAATCTACAAAGAGGGAGACCATGCATTTTTTAAGGGTCAGCAGAAACTGTTATATTTAAGCCCGTTATCATGCCTCACAGTGCTTAGCTATCTGCTTCTGCCTGAGGGAAGTGTCAAAATGTGACCCTAAGATCTGACTGTCTTTTTAAAACAAAGATATAACCCAACAAGTTTTAAATGTGCTTAAGATTCAAGTCTGTGACATTTTGCTCTTCTTATTACACTGGCAAGGCCTTCTCAAATCCTAGTCTTCAGGAAGTTTTGGTAACATTCAAAAAGAGAACAGTTTCCTTTTCATTCTTGAAAAAGAACAAAGGATGCTCAATGCTTGTAGACTAACCCTAGCTACCTGAATGATGTCCTAATTCTACCCACTTCACAAAACAGTAAAATGGCTTCTACCAGTGTATCAATCTCCACTTACTGGATGGAAAATTCACTTCCTTTTTTAGTGGCAAAGTCTTTGGGAAATGTGTATGAACGTTCTCTCATCTAGAACATAAGATGTTCCCTGAGGGCTAAGATCTTGTTAATTTTTGCTTCTCTGTTCACCGCTGAGCACATTTGTAGCATATAATTTTCTAAATATTAAATAATAATAAGTCCTTGGAAATCCTGGCAAAGCACACCAGCAATATCCTTGCCGGGGCTGTGAGGCATCCCTGTGCGTGCCATTATTGCCTCACATGGTAACTAATTTGTACTGAGGCTGTTTCCTGTCAGCAAGAATCCACAGTTGTGTATGTATATAACAGGAACCCTCTATTACACAAGTTCCACAAAATAGCTTTGCAAATTTTTCAGTGGTTCCATCCCTCTTCACCAAGACCTGCATCATTCAACAGCTTTAATCAAACAGAGTCATCATCAGAAAAAAATTAAAAATGTATGCAAAAAGAAATACAATGCTGTCTTTAAATGCCAGTGTTGCACACTTAGGTACAGACAGACTAGGGATCAGATGATGTAAATCCCCAATTTATGGTACTGAAGCCAAATTACCATAACCTTTTGGTGGACAGCCCTCCGCAGAATCCTGTCCTTGCTTTAGCCCATCCAGGGAGAGATGGATTGTTGTGAATTGCCTATAACATCATTATCCTGCATGTTTCAGAGTCACATGGGAAAGTGTCCTTAGATAGCAATGGACACATAGTCCGAGAGCTGGCCAGAAAGGACTTCACTTTCAGGAATCTGGAAGGAGGAGAAGACTGAGTCATCTCTCTCTTTGCTTCTCAGACATTGTTCCTTGGTTCACTGGGAGTCCCACTTATCTTATTTGCCTGCGTGTTGAAAAAAAAAAAGGAAGTTGGATGGTCCTATAAAGGAGCACATAAAAGTACAAAATAGTGTACATGCCTCTATTTTCTGGAGCTGTAATGAGGTCTTCATTATATTAAGAGGCATTGTTTTAATCTTCTAGAATAGAAGTTCCTTATTTAGTAATAATATTTTGTCATATAGCTCAAGTGATGCTTTGTCCTAAATCTACTAAAATCAAATAATCATAGGGCTGGAAAGGATCATTTGAGGTCAATCCCCTGCCTTCAGGCAAAAGTCAGCATCACATTTCAGCCACATTCTGATGCCCCTTTGCAAGTTACTAGAGGATACTTTTACTCTTGGCTGTGTCATCTTAAATATAACTGTTTTTTGGGTTTTTTTTTATGTTCCTTTGTCCAGGTTATTGATGAAAATGTTTAATATTTAACACAGTACAACTCTAAGAGAATGCCTCTTGTTAGCACCAAACAAAACACCAGCCCTGCATAGTCAATGATTTCCCCAAATCATTTGAACTTGAGGGTTGGATGCAGGTGAAAGGTTAGACATAAATGCGAAGGAAAGTTGGCTGAAAACTTTATTATTGTTTGGCAGGATTTGTTCTTTTAAAAAGATAATATTGGAATACAGTTGTGTTTGTAAGGGCTTCTGTCAGTTGATTTTTTAAGTTTTCAAGGTTTTTTGTTTTGTTTTGTGTTTGTTTTTAGTTATCCTTGAAAATCATTTTCCTAAATTATCTCTATTCTAGTCTTGAGTTTCCTCCATGTTTTTCTTGAGTTTATGAAGGTGGTAACTGGAAACTCTACCATAATTTACAACTTTGCATTTTTTTTTCTTACACACTGGCAAATATCTATGTAAATGAGCAAAGCCTATGGATTTGAGCCAAGTCACTGCATTTTAGAGCTGGAAGGGATATTGAATAACAGCTAATCAAATGCCCTCATCTTACACATTATGGAATTAAGACCCAAAGATTAAGTGACTTTTCTAAGGCCACATCACAAATTGGGCAAAACTATGACCCTGATCTTTTGATTCTTAGTTCAGGATTCCTTCTACTTCCACCCTATTCCCTAACCATCCAATGCGGGTATTGAGTATAATTACAGCACTTACTATTTCATTGTTCCTAATTATAGCAGGCAGAATAATGGCCCTCCAAAGATGTCCACGTCCTAATCTCCAGAACCTATGAATATGTTTTATTAAAATGCAAAGGGGAATTAAAGTCACAGATGGAATTAAGGTTGCTAATCAGCTGACCCTAAAATAAGAAGATTATCCTGAATTATCTGAGCAGGACCAATATAATCACAAGGGTCTTTAACATGGGAAGAGGGAGGCAGAAGAGGAGGTCAAAGTGATGTGAAGTGAGAACCTGATCCACTTTTGCTGGCTTTCATAATGAAGGGGAGGGGCCAGGAGCCCAGGAATATGCGTCGTCTCTAACAGCTGGCAAGGGCAAGGAATGGATTCTCCCCTAGACCCTCCAGAAAGGAACACAGCCTTCCTGACACCTTAATTTTAGCCCACTGAACCTGGGTTGGTCTTCTAACCTATAGGACTGTAAGAAAATAAATTTGTGTTGTATTAAGCCTCTGTGTTTGTGGTAATTTGTTATAGAGACCCTAGAAGACTAAAACACTAACAAATTATTGATGACTGCTCAGTGAAAAATACATCTTTTCACAGAATAAATTTTAAGATCTGTTCCTTTTCCTTTTAAAAAAAAATACTACCTTAAGTCAGTTCAGTATTTGCCTTTTGCTAGGACTCAGTCAGATGCCATTTGGTATTAATTTATTGCATTTTCCATAAACGGACACAAGTTCATGCCCAAGTTCACCAAATGAAGGAGAAACTGCAAGGGAGGTCCAGAGGGTGTCCCTGACATACTTCATTAGAATGCCCTTGGGGCAGCCGGAGGGGACGCCGACTTCTGATGTGCAGCTGTAATTCTCCGTGTGACTTTGTGTAACAGAAGTTTCTGCAAACTGGCCTCTGTGACAGTCACAATACCGTGATCAAGGATGTTAATGCTCCTAAAATTCCTTCCGTTCCCAACACTCTTTCCACTCAAAGTAGCAGAGAAATGAAATCACATACACCTATACCTCCAGACCTGCTTCTTTCAATGGGAACAATTCATTTATAGAAATAAGCAGGCTTCAGAAGTTCTGTGAGTAATTTTCACTTTATCTTGCTACAGAACCAATCTTAGATAAGTTTAAACCAGCCGAAAATAAACCAAGCAGAAACTAGTTCCCTAAACCCACTGTAAAACCCATTGCCATCAAGTCGATTCTGACTCATAGAGACCCTACAGGACAGAGTAGAACTGCTCCACAGAGTTTTCATGGAGCAGCTGGTGGATTCAAACAACCGACCTTTTGGTTAGCAGCCGAGCTCTTAACCACTACGTCACCAGGGTTCCTAAACCTAGTATACTCATGCCTAATAAATCTTTAACCAAACTTGTTGCTGTCCAGTAGATTAGCTTGCTAATACTTCTGAATTTCCATTCACCAAGGTGTTTTCCTCAAAACCTGGAGAAAGTCCTCAAGTGACCAACTGTCCCAGTTTGCCTAGGACTGAGTAGCTTCCTGGGACACAGGACTTTTAAGTGCTAAACCCAGGAATGTTCCAAGAAATTTTTCATAGATAGGCCTCAAGTATAGAGTTCTGTGTGGCAGCCCAAGGCCCTTGTCTAGAAAGCAGCAGGTACCAGGTGAAACTATTCTCAAGTTTAGGGTTCAAGGACATACAAATATGTGAAGCTTGCGTGAGAAGAATGAGCACTGGTGGCACAGTGGTTAAGAGCTTAGCTGCTAACCAAAAGGTCAGCTATTTGAATCAACCAGTCACTCCTTAGAAACCCTCTGTGGCAGTCCTACTCTGTCCTATAAGGTTGCTACGAGCTGGAATTGACTAGACAGCAACAGGTTTGGTTTTTTCGGGGGGAGCGGGGAGGGGGACTGAGGAAGAGCTCACATTGCTCACACTCTCCATTATCCTTCTCAATGATTTACTCACTGTTTGTGATCAGTAACAATCTCCCTTGAGCAGCTCAGGTTGAAAGGCATCAAGAACAATCAGAGGGCAACGTGTGATTCCATGGAGAGTACACTGTCCCGTCTACAAATCAGGGGCTTTGGGGTATCATATGTGTTCACTGGGAAGGAACAGGCTATGTTCACAGGAACACTCACTTTGGTTCACTGCAGGGTGTTGATCAACAACCTGAGATCCGTGCTGGAGGCTCAGTTTGACAGCCACGTCCGTGCAGCTGGACACAGTTATGAGAAGTACAACAACTGGGAAACGGTATGATATGCACATGATTTAGACATTGCTTTGAGAACTGAACCAAGAATACCACATTAATCCACAAATGGTTTAATTCGGTAGATAGAGGCTTGGACCCAACAAGTCGCCACGGATAATCCAGACCTCATCTCTCGCAGTGTCATTGGAACCACATTTCAAGGACGCAGTTTATACCTCCTCAAGGTAATCACCTTTAACCATGACCTTGCTATGTCTGAGGGCTTTTAAATCAATGGATTCTAGCACATTAACATCTGTTCCACAGACATGCATATCCCAAACGTTGTTATAACTCTTTACCTGCCTATATCCCCCAGGGAATGAAACAGATTCCCCCAGCTTCTTTTATCATATGTGGATTTTTAAATCATTATTTTGATTTATCCAAAAGTAAAAATGCAATAAAATGAGAGAAGTCCTATAAATCTAACCACATTCCTGTAAGCAATGTAAATGACCATCTACCTTGATGCAGTTATTCTCTCCCAGCTGTTGTTTGCAAATCCATTTGCTAAAGAGGTTCATAAACTTCTCGTCCATCAGACAGCATTACAAAGAGTATCAACAATTTGTTTCTGTCGTCCTCAAATGCTATTTTTGTCATGTAATTCTAATGAAGAAAATAAAAGGACTAGGAATAAGTGGGTGAGAAGGAGAAGTCTTAGGAGATTAGCAACAATCATGATCACTTCTAATTACTCATCCAGTTGTCTTGGTCATGTCACCTAATAATAGCAGCTGAAAATAACCTCCACGTGAGTACAATTAAGCAGAGTAATCAAGCATCTTCTGAAAATATGAGCTTGTCAAGCTTAATAAAAATAATAAACAGCCATGTAAGCCTTCAGCTCAAACACGGTGAGTGTCTAGAGGCAAGAACGTACTGTGCTAGTATTATGTTTTAATTTAATCATGGGATATATCTCTTGCTGCCGTCAGGTCTCACCTGTTGAGTCCAAAGCCCAGATGAGAAGCGAATGTTAATCCCTAAGTGCCATATGATTCACAGTTTTCCTTTTTCTTTTGTTTGCAATAGGTTGGCAAAGCTGGAAACAAGAAGCCCGCCATTTTCATAGACTGTGGTTTCCATGCCAGGGAGTGGATTTCCCCTGCATTTTGCCAGTGGTTTGTGAGAGAGGTCAGTAGGTAGAGTGGTTTTTTGGCAGAGGAAGGTAGGAATTTTTTTTTTTTTAATTTCAATCAATTCTTTATAACCTAACTATGATAAAAGAGAATAATAACATAGAGAAAATATCCATAATTCCAAGTTCTCATTTTTGGAAATTAGTTTCAACTTTCACCAACAGACCTTTATAAGGCAAGGTTTTAAAACAATTAGCAAATTGTCTTTATGGAATTTTACCCATTTGAACTTTCTCGACCATCTTTGGTGGAGAAGCTAACAGTATAATGCATAGGTTATTTAAAAGTTTGAGCCCTGGTGGCACAGTGGTTAAGAGCTACAGCAAGCTATGGCTGCTAACCAAAAGGTCAGCAGTTCAAATCCACCACCCACTCCTTGGAAACCCCATGGGGCAGTTCTACCCTGTCCTGTAGGGTCGCCATGAGTTGGAACTGACGGCAACAGGTCTGGTTTGGTTTTTGGTTTGTTAAAAGTTAATGGTTGTGGATAAACCACTAACTTGATCAATTATCGCCTGGCTAATAATCACTGTAAACTTCAGAATAAAAGAAAACAGTACATGGTAGTCCCTACTCTAAAATGTTCCTGTTTTTCATTCTTTATAATTCTAATAATAAGATGTATGTGAAAGCCCTTTAAACACTGATGTGTTTTAAGATAAATATCCATAAGACTAAACTGATATAAACAGAAGATTCAATGATTAAATAAAAAAGAGAGAAGGAAGAATTCTTTCTCACAAAAAATTACAACTAATAGATGTAAAATAATGAGGGAAATAGTAAACACCATTAAAACACCACAGTAACAATTGTTTCCGACAAGATCCATGAATGGATACTAAAATTAGTGGCTAAAAGTTTTGGGAGAAACAAGATATTTGAAGAGTCTCAAAGTACCTCCCTCGAAATATGTATTAATTTAAAAGGTAAAATTTATAATGGAGAAACCTGGCAGGAGAAACTTTAACCAAGTGATCAAGGTTAGCATCACCAGTAATGACATATCATGTGCCCCTTATATTATGCATTTAATTGGCACATCACCTTTGTTGTATTCTTCCCAAAATGCATAACTTCACTATAATCATTACAAAAATAAGATAAACCCAAATGGAGGAACATTCTGCAAAATAACCTGATCAGTACTCTTCAAAAGTGTAAGAATCATAAAAGACAAGGGAAGACTGAAGAATTGTCACAGACTAGAGGAGACTGAGAAACAGGGCTTTGAAATGGTTCATTTCGCTCTGACCCCTGCTGAGAATTTGCATTTCCACCCTAGATGTTCTGAATCAGAATCTACATTTTAACAAGTTCCCCCAGTGATTCTTATGTATATCTGGGGATCTTGTTAAAATGTAGATTCTGATTCAGTACATCTAGGGTAGAAATGCAAATTCTCAGCAGGGGTCAGAGTGGAATGAACCAGTTCAAAGCCCTGCTAAGGAGACATGACAACTAAATGCAATGTGGGATCCTAGATTAGTTCCTAGGACAGAAAAAAGACATTGGTGAAAAATTGGCAAAATATGAATACAGTCTGTAGTTCAGTTGATAGTGTTATACCAATGTTAATTTCTTTGTTTGGATCATTGTACATGATCACGGAAGATGCTAACACTGAGGAGCCTTGCAAAGCGTATACGAGAACTTGCTGTACTATTTTTGCAACTCTTCTTAAGTCTAAAATTATTTCCAAGTTAAAAAATATTTAAGCACTTTACAAATATAAGAACATTATTACTTACAATATAATTTATTTTGTGCTTCATAATACTTGAAGTACTTCGGTCTTTTTTTGTTATGGTCTTAGTATTCCAGACATGTTATGTCTGCATTTGGCATCATTTAACTTCAGTGCGGAGCTCACCATCTGCCCTCTAGAAGGAAAGAACTTTTGTAATTACCTTGGTTATCTCCAATGTGCAGACTATTAAAAGGGTATGGTTCTACAGCTCCTCCAAGCTAAAAAGCACATGCTTCATCGAGTGTCACTGTAACAAATAAATACTTATGCGGTCACATAGAGTATGTAAAAATTGCTAAAATACAGGAGCTTTAAATATAGACATTTTAAAGTCTATTCAAGCACACCTAAAGAAGAGTTGAATTTAAGTTTAATATCATCCTGGGGTAAGGGGACAGGAATTAAGAAAACATTAAACGGGCATGATGTCCTTCATTCATGGATACATGTTCACACTACTCATTTAGCAGGTAACACTCGTCCCTTATAGGGGTTCCTTCTCAAGGCAGAGGGTTCAGAGGGAGACTTTCACCATTATGCAGCTGGGAGCCTTGATGAGAACTCTGAAATCCACCAATGAGTACTCATGCAATAGTGGAAGGCTTTCTTGTTTCTCCTCCATGTTGGGCACTGCCTCTAATGGGATCATCTACAGGATATTTTGTAGAAAGTAAAAAATTCCTAGATAATATTATTTTAAAACATTCATAGCTATCCACAGATATTCCCTACTTCCTAGGAATATTTCTTACACTCATATCCTACTGTTTGAAAGAAGATTATTGCCATTGTTATGTTAAAGGAAGTGAGTATATCGTTCTTTAAGAGTTCTTGTAATTTTATTAAATCTGTATTCATTTTTCAAGCGAAAAATAAGATAACAATTATGTGGGTCATATATGGACGAATTAGGAGTATCCTGGAAACAAAAAAAAAATTACAAACAGCAATTTTAAATTAAAATTTCGATAACATTTTGCTGACCCCTTCTTTAAATATTAATAGTACATACCTAAATGGGGGATACCACTTTCATTATCCAAAAAAGCAACATTTATCCAGTCTATGTAAATCTTAACAGCATTGTACATTCTATTTTTCTGTGAAATCCTGCTTTATAATTAATACACAGGCTGTTCGTACCTATGGGAGTGAGGTCGACACGACAAACCTTCTCAATAAGTTAGACTTTTATGTCCTGCCCGTGTTCAATATTGATGGCTACGTCTACAGCTGGACCACGGTACGTGAACCATTTCCAATAGTGAACAAAGCTGATAAAATTAAGATCGACCACCTCCTGTTATGATTGTCCTAACCATATAATCCACTTCCAGAATCGAATGTGGAGAAAGACCCGCTCCACCAATTCCGGAAGTGCCTGCATTGGCACAGACCCCAACAGAAATTTTGATGCTGGTTGGTGCCGTAAGTATCTGGCTGACCATACTGCATGTATCAGTTGAAAAGTTTAAAAGGGAAAATAACGTAGGAAAACACACCAGGGTCTAAAACAAAAAAAAAAGGAAAATTTTACATTTTAGAGTTCTAACTTTCAGAAAACACAGACAATAAACAGTTTATTTATTCATTCAACAAAAATGTGTTGAATGCTCTATTATGTTCCTAGCTGCCCTAAATGGTAGAAACATAACAGTGAACAAATCAGACATGATCCCAACACTCATGGAATGTACAATCTAGAGGAGAAGCAGTCATTAAATAAATAATTATGTAAATAATTATTTAAGTAAAATTGTGATGAACTGGAATTCTGTAATTTAACTCTCAAAAAATGATTACAGTAATAGAGAATTTTTCAAAAATATTAGTTTGTCCCCTATTTATTAATTTTCTTACACTACATTGATCTCGAAGCCCTGATGGTACAGTGGTTAAGATCTTGACTGCTAACCAAAAAGCTGGAGTTCAAATCCACCAGCTTCTCCCTGGAAACCCTATGGGGCAGTTCTACTCTGTCCTATGGGGATGCTATGAGTCGGAATGAACTCGACGGCAGCGGGTTTGGGTTTTGGTTTATATTGATCTCATTGGGCTGCACCACACCAGGACACGCCGTTGTTTCCCATGCACCTTGTTACCATGTTGGCTTAAAAACCACCCAAACTCTTTGCCATGGAGTCGATTCTGACTCATAACGTCCCTGTAGGACAGAGTAGAACTGCCCCATAGGGTTTCCAAGGAGCAACTGGTGGCTTCCAGCTTAAAAACATGCCACCCTAATCTTATGAGTAAAAATATACATACTTTATTTTATAATACATATATTCTTGAGAGTGATTATAAGGATTCCTGTGAAAACAGAACTTTTTTAACTCCCTGATTTGAAGGTTTGAAATATCCCCTGGGAGGACGTCAGTAGGTGATCATTTGCCATAAATATTATGTTTTTCCAGAAATCGGAGCTTCTCGAAGCCCTTGTGCTGAAACTTACTGCGGATCTGCTGCAGAGTCTGAAAAAGAGACCAAGGCCCTGACTAATTTCATCCGCAAAAACCTCTCTTCCATCAAGGCCTATTTGACAATTCACTCATACTCCCAGCTTCTGCTCTACCCTTACTCCTATGCTTACAAACTCCCCGAGAACAATGATGAGTTGGTAAGTAGCCATGACGGTACATATGGTATTTCACCACTGAGATTTTCTTCTAATTCAAATCCTGAAAGGGAATTATAAGAACAGTTTCCGGAAGTTCCATTATTGCTTTTTGGTAGGAGAAGTGGAAAACATACTATAGATTTACAAAGACTCTTTAGTTGGCTGGATTTCTTTAGTTGGCTAAAAGAAATAGGATTTTGATGCAGGAAACAGTCCACCATGTGTGGTTCATTAGCTAATCTTCAAATTGACAATAGTTCCTCTTCCTCCAGCTTCACCACGAAACTAACTCACAATTTGGTCAAGTTGCCGTGAGCTGGAATTGACATAGGCAGAGCATGGCAGATGTCATTGGGAATTTTGCTATATTTGGTCAATATCAGGTTCAGCAATGAGATCCTAAAAAGTGTTTATTTCACTAATCAGGTAAAACACAGAAGTAAATCAATCAATGAACAATTGATGTGAATGGGACTTTACTAGATATAGGGAATGATGGAAAGGTCCTTAAGTAACCCTAACTCAAAGAACTAACATCTCCTTGAAGAATCAAGAAATAATCACATGAAAAACTGAATAATGTGAGTTTTATAATAATTCACATTAACAGATTTATATATCCATGCATTAATTTTTGTAAAAAATAGATATGCAGGTTTGAATTCTTCCAACAATATTTTTTTTAATTTATGAAACATCTGGCTGCCAGAAGTTGAGAGTTGAGACCAGTAATCTACAATAGCAAGTGTAGGATTTAAAGCATTTGAGTTATGTCCAAAAAAAAAAACCAGTATCCCATTTTGACAATGACATAGATATCTGGCTTACTTAAATGCATCAATCTGAAAATCCAGTAACTTTAAAAAGCAGAAGTTGTTGTTCTTTACTTTCAGAGTCAATATTCTAGAGCCAAAGTAAAACATGTAATGCTGTAAATACTGTGTGAAGAGCAAAATGAGAAAGTAACCCCCACCTCCTGGAAAATTGATAGCTAATAGTTGGCCTGGTCCTATTCTTTAAAAAATAATAATAATAAAGCTTCCCATTTTCCCTATCTGTAGCCAAAAGACAAAGGAAAATATCATTAGTTGGAACCATTAAATACTTGATCTTTCCAGTTATACTTAGTCTGCCATTGTTCCCCAGTGGTGCTCACAGTCCTTCAGCCCCAGAGGTGGACGTGGTCAGCTCCTGGTTTCTGTCCTAGATTTCTGGCCACCAAAGGAGAGAAGGCTGGTAGTATGTTGTTTACTTAATTCTTTTGAATATGTTTAAATTGATGGGCTCAAGCATAACAACAATTGAGAGGATAGCGAGGACCGGGAAAAGTTTAGTTCTGTTGTACATGGGGTCACTATGAACGGAAACTTACCCGACAACCTCTAACAACAACAATGTTTAAATTTAACCACATCAGAAGAGAAAAAAGAAAAGTCATAATAATTAAACACTACTGAGTTAATTAGTAAAATATCAAAGTTAAAAGTATAAAACACATTAAGTGCAACAAAACTGAAATATCCAGTTTGTTCAATACCAACTAGTCTTAAACATACTAAAGGACAAATACTAACAGAAAAACTTGAAGTGTTCTTTAGAATTGAGCTGCTTTACGCAGGTTTCAATACCTCTTCTTATGTGGGGATTAACTTCAAGCCCTTTTAACAATGAATTAGGTTTATTGCCCTACTGGCATTGTTCTGTGGAGTCTCTGGGTGGAGCAAATAGTTCTGCTCTGACACATCTGAGCAGGAATTGACTTGAGGGCAACTGGTTTGATTTTTGGTTTGGCATAATTCTATAATAACCTAGTATCTTGGACTACTCTAGAAGTCTCCAAATTATCCTTTAAAAAAAAAAAGCAAATAAATTCTGCCTTTGGAATCTTGTGAATAATTTTTTATACTTCCTGTGGGAATTTTATCCAGGAAAAGACCCAAAACTCAGGGTTAGTAGGTTTAATGGGTCAGTTCCCATGTGCCCCTGTGGTATGAAAACTGTCAGACAGCATATGAGCCACTGACACTCTCATGGAAGAATCATTTCTTCATTTACAGTCAAGGAGAGGAATCTTGTCTTCCAAAATTGTTTCCAAATTCTAATTAACAAAGGAGTGGAATAAGCAGAATCGTATCAAAGTAATGGCACAATGGTTAAGTGCTCGGCTGCTAACTAAAAGTTCAGAACCCACCAGCCACTCCCTGGGAGAAAGATGCGACAGTCTGCTTCTGTAAAGATTACAGCCTTGGAAAGCCTACAGGGCAGTTCTATCCTAGGTCACCATGAGTCAGTATCGCTAGATAGTAATGGGTGTTTGCGTTGGTAAAATATTTATAGCCTATTATCAAATGAAAAAGAGTGCAAACCACAAAATTATCTTAGATGTTTATTTTTCTACTTACAGAACCAATAAATTCAAGAAGTACATGCCACTTTTTATCTTTTCCAGAGAGTGATACGTGACTAAAATGCAAAACTTAATTGTAATTACTAGTATATCTATCATACCCATTAAATTCAAAAGTTACTCTAACTTTTAATAATTTTTTTTATGATTAAACTTTTGCTTAGTGTCTTAAGAAATATTTAAATGTTACTAGTAAAGTCTTGGTGCCCTGGTTGCTCAGTCTTTAAGAGCTCACCTAAAGGTTGGCTGTTTGAATCCACCAGCTGTTTCTTGGAAATGCTATGGGGCAGTTCTACCTGTTCTATAGGGTCGCTATGAGTCAGAATCAACTCCACAGCAACGGGTTTGGTTTGTTTTGTTTAGTAAAGTCTAAGATGACTATCATTTGATTATTTGACTCATTCAGGATCTGAATTGAATCTGGCATCACAAAGCAAGTTAAGTATTTTGAGCATTAGAGATCCTTTCAAATTTTTTCTTATTTTTACAATTCCAATCCACTTACTTCCAAAGCATAGTTTGCTAGGACAAACTCATAGCTATAGTGTTACCACAAATATATGGATAGCCAAAACAGAATCTGAATCTCTCAAAAACAAAAATGTTGACTCTATCATAGTTTTTATTTGTGAAGAGGATTTCAAGGAACACATTTAAAAGCCTTGATCCACACAACTCTAGTGCCTCCATATTAATACATGGACAGAAAAAATGTGCCGCCGAAAACAAAAAGTAGTAAAAGACTAATGGAATGAATTCTTGACATCTTCCCATGCTACGGAAACTCGTAATTTTGTTAGCAGGATACAATTTGGCCTACTAATTGATATAATATTTTATTTCTCAACTGATAGATTTATATTTGTAGCAAAAAAATACTTCAAAGAGAATGAGGCTTTACACTCAAGGAAATTATTCAGTACTTATATTAACATTCTCAGCCCAAATTTAGGACATACCATAAGCAGCAATACTTTGATATCTGTCATGATAAAAATTTATGTGATTTCATTTCTGAAGGGTCTTACATGTATGTTGCCCGACAGTTGCTCATATCATGGGACAGTCTTCAGAGGGAAGAAAGGCAGAGGTGAGAATACAAAAGTCCAGTAAAGGACAGAGGAAGTAAGAGCATGGATTACAAAGGCTACCAGAAAACATACCCTTGACTGATCGGTAAAAAGTACAAGGAGTAATAGGAGTATCTTACACACATTAAGAGGTTATAGTTTGCAGAATGCTTTCACACAAACTATATTACTTAAAGAACTAATAAGCATACTATGAGAGAAATAATAAGCCTTCTCTGAGTTTCCAGTGGCATCATAAACTGTCCGGTTCCCCAATGTTGACTTCTTCACTATAGAGCTACCATTGTCTTCAAAGACCATTTTAATGGCCAGAAAAAGAATGCACTTAAATTTCCAAAATTCCAAATAATAATGAAATATTGAATTATATGACCTCTTTATTATCAAACAAGTCCTGGTGGTGCAGTGGTTAAGAGCTTGGCTGCTAACCAAAAGGTCAGCAGCTCGAATCCACCAGCCACTCCTTGGAAATCTTATGGGCAGTTCTACTTTGTCCTATAGGGTTGCTATGGGTCGGAATTGACTCAGCGGCAATGGGTTTGGTTTTTTGTTTTTGTTTTTTTCCTTGGTTTTTATTGTCAAAGAAAATAAAAATTAGGAGACATACTGGAAAAGCCTAACCATGCCTTTGCACTTATTGAGTATGTAAAGGTTTCCAATCTTTGGTCCACCTTTCCCCAAAGAGACCTACATGGCACTGTTAATGACAATATTAACACTGATGGTGATCATGATGCCACTTTTACGGGAAAAACAGAAAGCCAGAAAAATATCCAGCCGAGTAAATGTCTGGCCCCACTCCCCAAACTGACCAAGTGGAAAGCTAATATGCACTATCCAAAGGCACCGATCCGGAACATGAGTCGTCCACCACGTTTCTATATTAGAAGAATATAATTGTATAGCTGGAAAAAAATCTTAGAAATTCTGCTTTCTCATTTTCCTGCTGAGACAATGAAGGCCTGGCTAGCCAACACTAGTAGTGGGGCATCCCTGGCCTAGAGCTCCTGGTCTTGAGGAATTTCCTAGGCTGCTCCAATTTTCAAAGACCCACATACACATCTGTGTGCCACATTCTAGAGTAGTGCACTGCACAGCTGTACTGCAGAAGAGCATTCATCAGACAAATGCTTTCATCCCACAACCAAAAAAAAAACCCATTGCCGTCGAGTCAATTCTGACTCATAGCAACCCTAAAGGACAGAGCAGAACTGCCCCATGGGGTTTCCAAGGAGTGGATGGTGGATTCGAACTGCCAACCTTTTGGTTAACAGCTGTAGCTCTTAACCACTAGGCCACCAGGGCTCGTCATCCCACACAGCACATCATTCTTACCACTGTCCCTGGACACTGCTAAGGATTTGCCCTAGTCAGCTGAGCTGCCTGATTTCTCAGGGCCCAGTCTTACAATTGTGGCCCATCCTTCTGACAGGTATGTATTCATTAATTGAGAGAAAGATGACCGTATAGCTGGAGAAGTCCTGTCTTTCTGAAAAACTGCT